ACGGAAGGGAGATATTTGACAACCATATATTATATATTTATTAGTAAACTAATGCCTCCACACATAATAAAATTGATATACTGAAATTTATAATAAGTATTAAATTAATCAGATAATAATTTCATCATTTGATTAGTACTTTGATTTGATCCCAGAAGTTTTCATGTCATCGTAAAATTCATGGTATTTTATACTAATTAATAAAGCTTTAAGAGATTATATACACAATTTTTTGCAATTTTCTACAAATTAATTCTGATATATTTTGACATTTTCATGATATTTTTCAATTTGTAAAAATAGGCTTTTTTATGGATTGCTTCCATAAACAATTGTTTCATTTTTTTATTTGTAATATGTAATAATTTTAATTATATACGAATGTTGTTTAGAAAAACTCATCACTACTTTGAATTATGAATAAAATATTTATATATCATAATCTGTAAAGAACTCGGATTTTTTAAAAATGAATAAGTTTTGCATGAATGCTTTACGAGATTGCTTGAAGACCATACCCCATGCCCCTAAAACAGAATAATGGGAACATAATTTTTAAGTTTAAATTATATATTTTGGAATTTATTCTTATGCTTATTGTTTAAATTGTTCAAATATTTTATAAAAATTTATGTATTAGTAGACTTATTTGACTTATTGCGTATCTAATATGAAAGTTTTCGAATACTTTCTTTAAGGCTAATCCAGTATGCATGTAATGAAACTTTACATTCTACTTTAATTATTATTTTATTATAAAATTTTACAAAAACCCTCCCAAATTTTGTAACTCATTTCTAATATTTTATTAAATTTTAATAACTACTCACAATGTGTTCTATTTAACTTCAAATTTATATATAATAATATTAATAACTATAAATAATGAATTAGATTGTTTTTTTGAAAATACTGTATCAACTGTTTTATTCTCGATCAATAATAAAATACAACGTATTGTAAAATATTGAAATTGTATATAAATTTGGTTAATATTTTTATCAAATTAATATAAGAAGAAATATATAAACAAATTCTAAAACTTTTCTTACGTCATTTATCAAAGCATAATATTTTGAAATATCGCCCATCTATTAACTTCTATAAACTTTTTTAATTTTATTTGTAGTTTAACTAATGCTTTTGAATCTTCATATTCTGTTTTGTAATTAAAAAATCATTGATAGTAACAGATCGTGTTTTGAAAACCATCGGTTTGTATTTTCTGTAATTTAGTTTAAATTAAATTTAATATTATATATTTGATTTAAAAGAATATGCTTTGTTAATTGTTTAATATTAGGTTTCAATATATGCAGTAATTTTTATATTAATATAATTTTTGGTTTTCAAAATTTATCAGAATTATTCATTTGGATTTGCTTGTTCTTCCTATAAAATTAATTCAAAAATCTGTTAAAACTGTTACAAAGTTGTTTTTTAACTGAAACGTTGCAATTTATTTTTCAAAGATCAATTTTAGTAATTCCAATTATCGATCAATAGCTGATGGAATTTTCTATTGAATTATAATGTTTTTATTATATTATTCAAGGTTATTTAAAAGAAATTGTTACAAATTTTGTATGTGATTAATTTAGGTTGGACCAATATTACTATAATAATTATTTTAATTTGATTCCTTCAAATATTTGATTTTTTTGACACGCGGAAAAAAAATTTCTGTTTTATAATAACATAAAACTTAAAAAATGTGTTAACATTTATTCTGCCTGAGGCCTCGCCCGCAGGTAAGCGGTTAAGAGCGGCGAGACTTATTTCAGAGGTCCCGCGTTCGATACGCACTTCGAGCAGCCTGTTGTCAGGCAGCAGTGACAACGATTTTCACTTGGAAATATAGATAGAAATATGTTTCCAAGTGAAAATAGCCCTCACCCGGCATTGCTGCGCCATTAAAAATACTCGCCCTATTACAGAAATTGTAATAATAATATATCATACAGAGATGTGACAACTGATTGGATTGTCATCTGTCAAAGAGACTAGTATTAAGTCAAAATCAGCACAACTGACTATTAGGTTCTGAATGCTGTTCCAAAATAAAAATAAAATACTGCCTGTTATAAATATTATTCAATAACATATAGTTTTATATTAATTATCAAATTTTACCATTTTTGAAATTTTATTATAAAAAGAGTATTTTTGTTACATTACTACACCTATAATAAGTAAACCTATAATGCTTGTTATTGAAAACAAAAATAGTATTACATTTTTTTCAAAATATATGTTTGATTAAATGCTGTATTAAGTAATTAAAATTTTTGCGTTTTTTTTTTCAAGACAGTATAAGCGCTTTACAATTTCTATATTCTGATCCAGATAACAAAAATACCAAAATTATTAGTTTTTTTAAATTATGCTCTGTGCAATTTTTAGTGATTTTCTGTAATTTTATATTTTTTAATAAAGAACTACTATATTTTAATAATTGGCAAATTGAATTTTGGATGATTTAACTAATTTAATCAGTTGCCAAATCAGAGCTAAAAGAATTTTTGATATATTATGCGTAAATAAAAACATGTCAAATTGTGTTTTATATATCAGACATATATTATTCCTAGTTTTATTATTATTATATATTAATATTATTTTATTATTATTATATTATTCTATATTAATTATTCATTTATTATTGACCAAGACCAAGACCAAGACTTACTTTGTTATCTTCTTCAGCCTTGCCAAAAATAATCTCATGCACATCCACAATTTTGATATAATATAATATTGTAAAATATTCGTGTTAAAAACATGAATGTTGAAGACAAATTAATCCCAGTTTTGAATTACATTCATTCATTTTTATTAATAGTTATTAAACAAATCTTGACTCAGATGTTGTATTCTTTAATAAAACTTTTCAAAATATGATTTAGTGTAATAATACTTTTGATACATTTCAAATATTTTTATATATTGAAACATTTCTGTTAATGAAGTATATTTGTATATATGAGTTATAGAAAAAAATATTAGAAAAAAAATTGATATGTTAGCTAAGATTAACAATCTTTGTAATATTTTCATTTGCAATATATAGTTCTCTTCAAGGGTTTTATTAATCCTGTGCTAGTTTTTTTTGTTTATAATTATTTATAATATAATTTATATACATATATATATATATATATATATATATATATATAAAAACCTTTATTTCGAAAATGTCCATATTAAGGACCACCCTAATATACATACGAACTACCGAATCGATTTTAAAAAATCAAAAACTGTTCGAAAAATACTAGTTGGGAATGATACTGATTAGTTTTAGGTAAAAATCTATCGAGCCGTTTCCTTCTAATTAACTGTTGAAAAAAAAATTTAAGCCGATTTTTATGGATCTTTTTTTGGCGATATATATCATGATCTTATAGAACTACTGAAATATTACGACCTTACGACAAGTAGTTTAATATTAAAAATTTATCAAAGGTTGAAAAAATGAGTAATTCCTTTGACATTTGTTAAAATTAAAATTAAACGATTTACGTGGTGTAACGATAGAGTACTTGGTCTTAATGAACATGCTAAACAATTAAAGTCCTACAAAAAACTGGCTCAATTATAAAAATTATTGATTTTTGAAAATTTGCTTTTAAAAAATGTTCCGACCGGGTTGACGTGTTCGATTTTTAATAATGTGTAATAAATTTACTACTCATAAATTAATTTATATATCATGGATTAAGTCGATTATTTACACATATAGGGAAGTTCATGTAACTTGCCTCAAGGCAAAATACCAATACCAACTAGTTATAATATTTAATCATAGACATTTTTGTTGATTGATTCTTTTTATTCTTCGAATGTTTAATTGCGGAACGGGAAGTTCTAGCAATTTGCCTTACGGCAAGATGCCATGTGCCCCACTAGTTTTATATTTATATTATAATTAACTTCCCGTAGGGCAAGTTATAGTAATCGCAAAAAAATCGAAAATGAAAATTTTGATATATCTTTACGTTTCAAAGGTTTCTGAATATTTTGGCATACCTTAGAAAAAATGGATGTATGTGGGTGTGTGTGAATGTGTGTGTGTGTGCGTGCGTCTGTGTTTGTATGTGCGGATACAAATTTTCGTCGACGATTTCGGGAACACGGATGAAGCGATTTGAATAATTCAAAAAACATTCGATTCGTATTGATAAGGAGACGTGCTGATTAGTTTTTGGCGAAGGCAGGTCTAGCCGTTCCGAAGATACGGGGCAAAAAAGCCAAAAACGGTCTCTCAGTTTTTAAGAGAACGGAGCGTCCGATTTGAATAATTCAGAAAACATTTTATTTGTATTAACTGAGTGAAGAACTGTTCAAATTTTTGGAGAGGCAGGTGCCACGACTACGGAGATATGGAGGAAAAAATAAAAAAATGAGCCATTTGGCGGTCAAAAATAAACATTAGGCATATGCACATCCAATAATTAAATATTTTATAGAAATTTTAACAATAAGTATAAATTTTGTTTACATTCCTATCGGTTCCGTACCAATGTTTACGCGTTAGACGGCGGCGCGGCGCTTACGCGCTTCGATATTTCGTCTCTATGCAGTTAAAGCAGTACGATTGCTTTGAAAAAAAAGTTCAGAATTTACAAAATATTTCAAAATAAATTATCTAATTGTAAGATAGAATGATTTAATATGGTTCGAAATTCTATTAAAAGTTTCAAATCATTGATAAACTTTTATTAATTATTATTATTGATTATTTTTAATTACTCGAATTTTGAATTGCGGTATGGGAAGTTCCAGCAATTTGCCTTAATGCACGATGCCTTAATTGCCTTAAGACAGAATTCCTCTTACAGCTAGTTTATATTCGTACTCAGCAACACAGTAAATATTTCTCGGCTTGATACGTTGATTTATATCAAGTGAAATGGGGTTTCAAGGCTTTTTATTCCAGTTGGCATATCATTATGTTATTTTTGTGTTGGTATTTATTGAATTTCTTCATTTCTTTCAAGATAAATGTGTAGCTGATATTTTCTGCACTACATATCAATATAGACATTAAAATCGATGATATCGATAAATCTATTTGACGTTGACAACAGCGCCTCGTGTGGTTTTGGGCTAACTTAACCTCACTTTGTGGATGTCAAAACCTGTGTGGAAAATAAGTTAAGTTGAAAATTTACGCAAAAATGGTGAAAAAGAAAGCAGGTACGTGTTAATTGGTAATATATATTGATTTCAATAATAAACTATTTTTTCGGTTACATTTTTATCATGAACGACAATTCTTCGTGTGTCTGTCGAGTTCCAGTCACCTATCAATAATTTATATTTTCTTCTTAGAATTGTGTTCCAATATATTTATCATCAAAAATTGAATACTGAAATTTGAAAAATTTACTTTAATAATTCAATTAAATACAATTATTGCTTGTTAGTAATAAAATAATAAGTAAATTTTCTTATTCAATTGTGTTCGAGTTTAATAAGATCTACTTCTGGACCTAATGATTACGTTGACTGCTTACAGAATTATTGAACATCAGTCGCGAGGAACGCATGGTTATAACTATAGGTGAAATTATCCAAGAATTAGTTGCTGCTCATGACGCAGGCAAGGATGTGAACTTGAATCGTATGAAATCTAGAATTTCTTCGAAGTATGGTTTAGATAGCTCGCCCAGACTTGTGGATATTATAGCTGCTGTACCTAGTGAACACAAGAAAACTTTGTTGCCTAAACTTCGTGCTAAACCCATTCGAACAGCTAGTGGGGTACGATTTTTTTTTAATTTAATATAATTAACAGTGGTAAGGACATTCTGAAATGTGCATTTTTAAAAAAGCTCAGAAGGAGAAACTAGGTTTTGCAACAAATGCAAGCTTCTTCTTTTCACTGTCGAATCTTTTTCTCTGTTTTTAGCAAATTAGTATTAGTACTTGCATACATGAAGTAGAAGTTAGAAGTAAATTTTTTTTTAATTGATTGAAATAACTAGTAGTGGTTTTAATTGAAATAATTACATACATCGATAAGTATTTACCCAAAAAACATGAACATCATCTTCAAAATAAACTATGGAAGGCGTTTGAACTGATTACTGCGACAAGACTGACAATGACACTTAACATCATACGACAGGTTTAGGATCACAGCTATCTTCATGTTATACAATCGTGGAAACGTTACTAAAACTAGCCAAATAAGGTCTTTTGTGACCTTTTATCCTTATTTTCCCAATTTCTTGCTCTTTGAACATCACCGCTGTGATGGAACTTAAAAATCTTAAACTTGTTGATGCTTTGTATATTAAGTACGAAGCATTCCAATCAAATATTCTGATTGAAGATTTTCAATGTTCATATTTTGGAGAAATTTTTATTTTCTTTTGTAGATTGCAGTTGTAGCTGTGATGTGCAAGCCACATCGTTGTCCTCATATTAATATGACAGGTAACATATGTGTCTATTGTCCTGGTGGTCCAGACAGTGATTTTGAATATTCTACTCAAAGTTATACTGGCTATGAGCCAACAAGTATGAGAGCTATTAGAGCAAGGTACAATCCATATTTGCAGACACGACATCGAATAGAACAGGTAATAACATTTATCTGAATTTGCACAAGTATATTCGATTTTGGAAAATAATCATCTTTGCTTATCTTTATTTTTTCTAAACAATCCTAATTATAGATTGAAAAAAACAAGTAATAATTTTAGGTTTTTAAAATTTTTGTCTAGGTTATTGAATTGTTTAAATATTAAAATACTCACCATTTTTAACTTTTTTTTATTATTAAAACTACATGCTACAAGTAAAACTTTGTTGAGCAAAATCAAGATGTGTTAAAATTGATTTTAGTCAATTGAATAATTACAAATGCAAATGCTTTGCTTATCTTTATTTTTTCTAAACAATCCAAATTATAGTTTGAAAAGATAAGTAATAATTATAGGTTTTCTAAATTTTTGTTCTAGGTTATTAAATTGTTTGAATATTAAAATACTCACCATGTTTTACATTTTTTTTATTAAAACTACATGCTACAAGTAAAACTTTGAACAAAATCAAGATATGGTAAAATTGATTTGTCAATTGGATAATTACAAATGCATATTCATTATAAGTCTATAGATTAGATCAAATTATGACTTCAAACAAATTTATACCTTTTATAGGAATTTCGATGCATAAAAAGCAATTTGTCTGAAAAGAATAATATGTTGATAAAAGAATAATCCAGCTGTTTCCAACCTGTGGGGCGGTTACCTTCAGGCTTTTCTAAGGGAGTACATCTGTTTCCAGAATACTATTATCAAAAATAACCCAACATTTTTGGAACGATATTGAAAAATAAACAAAAAATAATTAGTTTTTATGCATTTTTTATATAATATTGCATATTAACTTGTAGTCTGATAATATCAGTTGACTATTTACAAAATTAAATTAAATTGAAAAAATTAAGCTAAATTAATTAAAAATTAAATATCAGTTGATTATTTATAAAATTAAATTGCAATGAAAAAATTAAGGGGGGCGCAACAATTTTTTTCATTAGAGCAAGGAGGCGCGGTGCAAAAAAGGTTGGAAACCACTGGATTAATCTACATCGCATTATCTACATATCAGTCGCGTTTTGTAAGATTTGCTAAATTTTTAGATTGATTGCATTTTAGCAGTTCCAATGGTTTGAAGTATTGCTTTGTAATTTTTATGTGAAAGTTTATTTAGTACAGTCAACCCTCCGTTAACACGGCACTCTGGGAACACGGTTCCTATACTTTGCGGAGCCAAAAATCCGACATCCCGGCGATAAAACGGACTCCATATAACACTAATCTTGCTCAACTGGCGCGAGTTTCTTCGGCGCAACCTATGAATGAACCTAGTAACTAAATATGGTTTGTTTTAATATAGTTTTATCGACTATTTTATCTTTTACAATATATTTATAAAAAACAAGCCAGTTCATGATCTAATAGCTGTGTACGATATCGGATTAATTAGTGTTATAGCTTTTTAAAAATTGGTCATTTAAAAAAAAATCAGCTTGAAAAAATTTTTGCTACAAAAGTTTTTTTAGTTTAGCTTTTGTTTAATTTTTTATCATTTCCTAACATAAACCGTTCAATTCAATCAAAACAATTCATGTTTTATGATGTAAATTATGAAGTCATAATAGAGTCTTGGTCTCCATAGAGCGCAAAAAAATGCTGCAACTTGTACTAACTCTGAGTCTCTCATAGCACGGTCCCCATACAATATTATAGCAAGTTTCCATAGAACGCACTACGAATTAACCCGGATGACAAATTAATTCTGTGTCAAATCCGAGATTTTTATAGCACGGTTCCCCTACTACACGGTACGCACTTTCCGCGTTAACGGATTATTGATGGTACATGTATGTATGTTAATATATATATATATATATATATATATATATATATATATATGTGAACCTATACTTAAAATTTTCAATTTAGATCCATCATATTATATAGTTTTAACTACACAATTTATGTCAACAGCTTAAGCAATTAGGACATTCAGTTGATAAAGTTGAATTTATTGTAATGGGCGGAACTTTTATGTCTTTGCCTGATACATATCGCGATTTTTTCATTCGAAATCTTCATGATGCTCTTAGTGGACATACTAGCAACTCAGTAGAAGAAGCTGTTAAGTGAGTTAGTTTGATTTGAATGATATTTTTTGAAAATTAATTGAAGATTGTTCAAAAATCCTTTGGTTAGAAATAAATATTCATTATTTTCATTACATACTTATTAATTAATAAACAAATAATTATTTCATTATATATGTTTCATATAAATGAATTGAGCCTGAAAATGTTACAATTAACTTTCATTTATGCATTTTAGATATTCCGAAAAATCGAAAGTGAAATGTATTGGTATAACTATAGAAACAAGACCTGACTACTGTTTGAGAAAACATTTATCAGATATGCTTCAGTATGGCTGCACGAGATTGGAAATAGGTGTGTTACACATACACACATTCATATATAGATAGATATACTTTATTCAAATTTAATATTTACAATTTAAGTCAATACAATTATTATTTTTATCACAATACTATAACTATAGTAATTTATATATATATATATATATATATATATATATAT